AGGGTGGTTATACCGGCTATACGGATACAGAAGCTGGTGTGTTACGCCGAAGGGTGGTTATACCGGCTATACTGATACGGAAGCTGGTGTGTTACGCCGAAGGGTGGTTATATGTACCGGCTACACCGATGCAGATACAGATATAGATACAGAAACTTAGTTCAACATCATGTCTCAGAGTCAGCTCTCGGTAGGCTCCCCCCCCCAAAAAAAGCCTCCAGACATGCGCGAAAAACCTCCCTTACCTTAAACCATTCTAATACCAGAAGCCATTCATGCAAGCTGATGCCGCGTTGCAATCAGAAAACAAATCATAGCCCAACACGATTCCATTCCTTTCTTTCATCCTGCTGTGTTTGTTTCTGCACTTGTTACCGAGGAGAGCAAACACATCTGTCCCTGTAACCCCGGGTACGGACTAAGAATAGACTCCTCTGTATGTGGAGTGTTTGGATGTTGTTTGGAGCTCCGGGAATGGATGGCGACTGCTGAAGTCTAAGGAAATAAGGCCATGTTGATGTGATGATATGGATGACATCCACGCGCGCATCAATTTTCGTCCGTTCCCCAAAAAAGGTTTCAATCATACTGTACAAAACAGTTGGAGAAGGAGCAGATATACCGTAAGTTGCAAAAAAAATTGTAAAACGATACCAATGCCGTAGAATGCCAAAATCAAACGAAAAAGACCAAAATGTAAAGAAATGAATTTGAAAATGACCTCCAAAGTCTAACCATGATTACCATTGTCAACCACATTATACAAGTCCTTGCCATATAGCATAGTTTAACAACGTTTTTCAATAACCTTCAAGATAGAACGATGTTTCAATAACATCCAATGACCTCCAATCTCAACGATATCTTTAATTATCATCAAGGATAACAATGATATTTGAAAGACTCCCAAGGCCTAACAACTACATGTATACTTCAATTATCTCAGAGATTTTCTGATTACCTTTCAATGATTCCAAAGGTATTCAAATGATGTTTGGCGATCTCAATGGCCGGTGACATTTGGTGGGCGGATTGGTCTATTATTTACGAGAATGTTTTCGGCATCTCAAATCATAGTGGAAAGACTCAGCCACGATTCCCATTTTAAGTGGGTTGTACGAAAATGAACACATTGGAATATTGACGACAGCCATAATGAAATGCAAACACTTTTGCGCTGGCAATCTAACGAAAAATTACCCCCATTAGCCCACGAAGTTAATACAGTCAGTCTGTGTGTCTTGTACTGTCAGCGACGTGGATACATGTCAGTATTGGTGAGATAAGGTTAGAGACTCAGGTGTTCCTGCTAAATCAATATTGTGTCTGTGTATTACCCTCTTCCTAACGATCGTATGCCCACATCGAACGCTGGAAATAGCGGAGAGAATCAGCTAGCACCAGAGGATAAGTGGGTACTAAGAGTAGAGTACAGTACAGTACAGTACAGTACAGTAGAGTTTCTTCGGCTAGGTAGGAGCTTTGGTTCCAGTTTAGGTCGCTCTTTGCTTTCCGTGCACTACTGACATCTCAGGCATCTGGGGATGGGCTGTAGGGCATCTGGGGATGGGCTATAGTACTGTATGTACTGTATGTTAAACTAACTGATGTAGGGATGCATCATTCGTAGCTTTGGAACAATGACTGAGGTGGAATGCTGAGATGGAATTCTGATGCAGGGATACATCTTACATGTCTTGCCGAGAGGCATGCTTGACTTTGAGAAGCCTGGATATTTGATGGCCGTTTCATAGCTAGCATTGGACGATACTTGAGATGCTGTGGTAAAGATGACGATAAAGTGTAGCTGCTATTTCGTTATGGAGTAGATGTAGCAGGGTTTATGTATTCAACACAAGGCACAACTGGCAACCATAACAGAGATCTATACACTGACATATTTTTCAGCATATACACCATACTTCACTATACTCGAGTGTTTCATGTACATTTTCTTTACTGAATAGAGAGCTACCACGGAGGCTCGGGGTGACTATCTGATGTAGCTGAAGGCGTGTTATCACCGTCCTATCATCACCCTTGTCTCATCATCACTGACGCTCAGACCGGACATGGGGTTATGTAAGGAAAGACGTGATTGGCTCCGTCTCGCTTAGGAGAATCAAGAACCACAGGTGCTCCTTTCAAACGGTGCGCAGTCTTGATATTCTGCTCACATCTGTCAGACTAAAAGATACCGGCAAGAGTTCTTGACTTCTTGTTGAAAAGACGAGGCTTAGTCGAACAGGCAAGGTAAGTCCGCTGCAGAGTGTTATGCCGAAGATGGAAGCACTGCTTGATCTATTGATCCTTCCGTAGGATTTGTATTCAAGTTCAACATGTTGAAACATTTTACTCTTTTATTTTATCCAGTCATTGGGGATTTTGTAAGCCGTTACCTCGGAGACGCAGCCGACTCCAGCCTCTGTACCTCCCGGGCGCGGTAGTCACTGCCGATCTGCCGCTGTCAGTCTAACTCCTCACGTGCACCATATGCAGAACACATAAACCAAGGACATCGTTGTCTGTCAAACTGTAAGGCCCCAGCTCCTGGCCTGAACACTGACGCAACAAGGCATAGCGAGAAAGAGAAATAGTAGTTACGAATTGTGGTACCTGGCAAGTCGTGAGTAAGGGCCCAGCACGGCACCTGGTTTGAACAGGAGCTACTGTTCTGCTTAGCAAGCCATAATTTGTGAAAGTGAGCTGAACACTTTATTTGGCAGCCAAGAACTGACAGAAGCAGAACCGTGCTTCCAGGCGAGACCAGCATCTGGTCTGAACATTTCGGCAGCCAGGCCACATCCAGAATAGAAACAGCAGCTGAGGACCGAGCTGCCTGTGTAGCCGTAACAAAGGCCTGGTGCCTGGCCTGAGTATCTAGACAGGTAGGCGTATACAGACCAGGGCCAGACAGAGCGATGGCTGTCGGTAACATGTCCCTGCCGAACGTCACGGCGGCCCAGACGCCCCTCCCCATCCACGGCGCGCCGCTGGTCAGCCCGTCCCTGCCCTTCATCCTGCCCGTGGTGTTCTCGGTGGTGTATGTGGTGGGGCTGGTCGGGAACGTCACCGTGCTGCTGTGTGTGGGCCGGCGGGGCGTCAGGAGCAGCATGTGCGTGTACGTGCTCAGCCTAGCCACGGCAGACACCGTCTACCTGCTCGGGGGACCCTTCTTCCTCGCATCGTTCCTGGTACAGCCCAGATGGGTGAGTTAACGTTATCTTATCTTGTCTCACATTATAATCAATAGATAACATTCTTTTTCCGTTGACAAGTCTCATATGACAAGTCTCTGTTACCTATGATGGGTGAGTTAACGCTATCTTATCTTGTCTTACATTCGTAACATTTAATAGGTAACATTCCTTCTCCTATGACAAGTCTTTTCTCTGTTACCTATGATGGGTGAGTTATCCTATCTTATCTCGTCTCACATTCGTAACATTCAATAGGTAGCATTCCTTATCTTATGACAAGTCTTTTCTCTTTTGCCTATGATGGGTGAGTTATCTTGTCTTATCTTGTCTAGCAGTAAATATATTCGATAGGTATCATTCTTTCTCCTATGACAAGTCTTTTCTCTGTTGCCTACGATGGGTGAGTTTTATCTTGTCGTATCTTGTCTCGCAGTTATCATATTCGATACGTGACATTCTTACTCTGATGACGATCTTCTAGGTACAACCGAGATGGTACTCTCCAAGCAGATGTTTCAGTTGTCGAGATTTCTTTCTTCTTCTTTTTTCTCTCTTCTGAAGAAAGAAATCACGGCCACTACTAAGGGGAACAAACACCATCAAAATAACACCTGGCGAAAACCTATCCTTGGAGAGTGCCGAAGTAGAAGTCTTGTCTCATATCTTCCAAATTCAACAGGTTTTTAAGGGAGGGCCAACTACATTCATATACATTTACATTCTCTTTTGAATTACTTCATTCCCAAGACAGCACTGAGAAAAAAGTTGTAAGCAACATTGCTTTCTGGAACAGCCGGTAAATGGGTAATGCAATCTGACGCCTTGCCATTCAA